CGCCCCCCCGAAGGTGGCCAAACCAAAAAGCAAACAGCATCCAAACGGCTCGTGTTTTAGTGGTTGACTTTAATTCTGCACTGCACTTTTACTACAAGGATATAAAGAATAAATAGCAGATACTCTTCATTTACATAGGATTAAGTCATTCAAACTGTTCTCTCTATTTACAATAACATTGTGCTCTAGGCGTTTATTCTTTTTTACTTTAAATCTAAAGTCCGTAAGGAAAAAGAAAAAAACCCAAAACAACCCACACACGCTTTCCGAATAATGGAAAATAGCTTTAAAACGTTTTCTTATCAAAAAGTTTGGTTTGTATTTTTTAATCCTTTTATTAAAAAAAACAACAAAAAACCAACAAAAAACCTACTTCGCCAAAGCGAAGAGACTTCTCTCTGGAATATAAATACCAAAAAAAAAAAAAAAAGATACATTAGCAACGATCAGGGTAATAGTCTTAAAAATACAGTAGACGCTGATTATTTCACGTATAATACTGACCTTTTAATAGTATATTAAAACGGTGCCATATATACACACAATATACATTCTCCTACACGTTACAGTGCATTACAACGTTAACCAGAAAGCAAATGTCTTTTATTTTTGTTGCAGCAAAGGTCCACGTGAGTCCGCTGGAGAAGGGGTGAGAAAAGGTGAGTGCAAGCCCTAGCAGGAGCACTTGCACTCCGAAATGATGGGGTACTGGATGGGTATCCATGTGCACCTCTGCCCTCCCCGGCGCTGGCACCTCCACCTCAGGATCGTTAAATGCACGGACTTGGCAGGTTTGCAAACCATGCCTTCTGGGACTGAACAAGACCTTTTACTGTAGCAGCTGCCCACTTTGACATACCGGGGCCAAAAGCGGCTGCCGAGATCGTTCCACGTGTATAGGACCGGGCAGAAGGTCTGGGACCAGAGCCACATCTGCAGCTTCCTGCGCAGCTTCTTGCTCAGCCTGTGCTTCTTGCCCGGCTGCAGCCCGTCGTAAAACTCCAGCCCTTTGATTTCGCTGGGCATCGCTCCCGAGGGTCTCTGCCTGAGCAGCAAGTCCAGCTCAGCTAGATCGTCCACTCCAAGCCGGTCCTCGGGCAAGGAAATAGCCATAAAGTTAGGGTCGAAGTGTCCGCCCATGAGGTTCCTTAGCAAGGTCTCGTTAAGATCCTTCTCCTTAGGGTCAAAGATAGGGTCCGGGTGCTCGATTAGATCCACCAAGGGCAAGTTGTCGCTGGGAGCCGGTCGGATGTGCAGATAGTGCTGGCAGGCGCCTTGCTCTAGCCGGAGACCCAGCAGAACCACCAAGGCGTATATAGTCACAAGGCACTGGGAATGATCCATCCTTAGGAGACCGGTGGGGGGGGGAGAGGGGGGCTGGGTTCACCAAACAGCAGGGGAAGAAGGTGCAAGCAAATACATCAGAAAACTTGTACGGGGATATCCAAAATAGCTTGTCTTTAAGGGGGATCACCTCCACTCCCCGCACCACCAGCAAAGACAGCCCCCTAATAAGCCCGGAGAACAAGCCCCCTGCAAACACTCTCTCTTGCAGGCTTCTCTATAAAATTTCTCCTGGTGGAGCCGCTCCAAAATTCTGCTGCCGCTGCTGCTTCTTTTCACCCTCCCCGGGAAAGGGAGATGCCTCTTTTTGTTGCAAATTCTGCTCGCTGCTGCTGCTGCTCCTCGTTGTCTGCCCGTGCGTATGGAAGTTGCTGCCGATTCTTCTTCCCGCTCCTCTCCGCCGTTTGCAAAGCAGCCTCCTCAGCAGCAACAGCAGCCACGCACGTTGGGACCAGTTTGTCT